TTATGTTCAAAGAAAAAAATCTAAATCATTAGTTTATTTTTTAATTACAATGTTATAAAATAAATAGAATAATCATGTTTAAAATGTGTATAGGTTACGCGAATTGAAAAGACTGTATGAATTTAACAATAAAAATAGAAGTTAAAATATATTAATAGTGTAATACACACACATTCATATTGAAATAAAATTAGAAAAGTAATTTATACAATAAACATAAACATTATTAAATTCTACCTAACAAATTATTCTGTTAATTTATTGTGGCCGCGATAATTAAGGGAACACGATCATCTACTCACCTCATAGTTGTTTCTGTCGAGGATTTTTGTCCTCCTGCCACTGAACACCCTCCCCCTTCTCGAGGGACTGATACACATTAAATATGTGACAACTCAAAATCTTCAAGTTAGCATGGTGTGGAAGTTTAATATGTGGGTTGCTTGCTTAGTGTCATTTTCCTCCCTTGATTGAAAGCTCCGTCTCCTTTTGCCTCCTTTTTTTACTCCTGTAAAAATTGTAAGCTAAGATTTTTGTACAACAAACACTGAACGAAGGGGGGGGGGGGGTGTTTCCCGAGGGAGCAGTTTGTTGCTCTAAACCCGTTCTAGTGAGCTAGGTTCCCATGGGCATTCTGCAAATAACCTCCGGAGTATTGTGTTAAACAACTAAAATTGCCTTTTTTTTAATTTGAAAATACCTGATTATTAACAACCATCAAAGCGTACGTTGCAAAAAAATGCATATGCTTCTATAATTATTGCAGTCTTCATAATTATACACGGGGAAATAAAATCAGTTATAAATCATTAATAATATTTAACATCATAGTAACTAGTTAAAAAAATTAAGTTACCAAAAAAAGTATAAAATTTTAATCGAAACAAAAATGTGTGGAAACAGTTCAAATAATAAAGTAAACACAAGCATAATTTTAACTCTTATTCTACTAATGAAAGTAAAAATTATATTTTCTATTATGCTTAAGTCAGAAAATACAATTCTCTCTTCTTTAAAAATTAATACTTATGCTTAACACATAATTAAAAATGACTATCAAGAAAAACGTGAAAACATGAACAGACGAAATATTTGAAAAAGAAGGGTTATATCAACAGGTAGGTAACACACATCTCTGGAGGAGTGTATCCGGAATGCATTGCAAATACGATAGCATTCATAAGCGATACACTGTCGACCCTTGCTACAGATTTTTTTTTAAGGAATGCAACCTGTTGCCTATTTCTGTTCTTTATAAAAGTCAGTTAACCCCAGCTAGTGATTTCCATGATCATATGACAAGATTGATATCTGAGTTGGCATCCCTTTCTCTACATCTACACCATGCCACTGCTATAGTTTGATTTTGTTTCAATAACGCGAAACCAGAAGCGAGGATTACTTTCAATGTACTTGCTAATTCTGAAAGATTGATAATGATGGCACTAGAGCTGACACTCCACTCACCATGGTTGCGAACTCGTGGCCTAAGCATACACACTATAGCATGACATGACGTTTCATTATCACCGCACACTTCAAGTAACTTCCAGTAAATGTGAGTACATTTACACTTTACCATCCACAAAAAAAATAAGGTATGAGCAGCTGTTGAGACGTTTACAACCGATAATCAGACTAAGTTAAAATGCCATGTGAAAGCCACGCTATGTCACTCGATGTAGAGATAAATATCTGAAGAGTTGCTGCAAACTTTTTAACGTGAAGTATTAAAAAAATATTCATTCGTACGCTTTTTCGAAATCGTGATTCCGAACATAACTTCAGGCAAAAAATCATTTTTTAAGATATAAAAGTATTTTATTTTTGAATTGCATGACAAACAACATCTTTATTTGTATACAAATTTTCAGACATATGTCTCTGATAATTTATGGAAGTTAGATATATATATATAGTTTGTACTGAGATAAAAAATATTCGGTTAGGATTCTTCATTTGATAAATTTAAATTTATTTAAGTATAATTTGAGAATTATTCCTAAACACTATACGCCAAAATATTTTTAGTTCGAATCGCGTGAAATGTCTACATATGTGTTTGAATTTAGTCGGAAGCATTTGTGATACGCATTTTATTATTTTGAAAGTAATGCAAGAGTAATAACTTTGAATCATTAGTATCCCAAAAAACTTTTTAAATGTATATTAATTTTTATGAAAAAGATTAATTAATTAATTTTTTTAAATGTTATTTGTTTTGTTTATATTATTATGTTTTTTATAAAACATACACTATCATAAAAACAAAACAAAAAAACATCAATTGAAATAATAAATACCTGATTATACATTTTATTATAATACGAATATATCTAATTTTTACACAAAATGATATTAGTTTAACTAAATGCAAAATATTTTGGCGTATTCCTTGTAGGAATTTGTTAAGGGAGTGAATTTTATTTATATTGTTTTTCATTATGTTAACATAAATTTTCGTAATCTTCCCGCAACCTCCTTTTGGGAGTAGATTTCGGCAAAACCATTCTTAACGGATTTCTACTCAACAAAAGAAACATGCCTTATAAATTTCAAATTTGTTGGCCTAACAGTTAAAAAGTAGATTTTTTTTATCGATAATGCCCTTGTAACCTTAGTTGTCGATTTCTGCAAAATCCGTTCTCAGCGGATCTTTACTCAACAAAATGAATATATCTGCTGAATTTCAAGTTTATAGGTTTAATACTTCCGGAGATTTCGTGATGAGTGAGTGAGTCTCTTTTCTCCTACAAATATGTAGATATTCTTTTTTTTAAACAAATATATAAACCTATTCAGATAACTTCTCTAACGACTTCGATTAGGCAATTTGAATTCTTAAGTGTAATATCTTAGCAAACCGCTATAATTTTAAGAATACTTTAACCAAAACAATTTTTAAAAATCGATTCTGATGATCATCAACAGCCCAAAATGACAATCCTCTGTTTATTCAAACAATCCAACGACACTTTTGCATTCGAAAATGTTCTGGGCAATAAGCAATTCAATCAGATTCCATAATGACTTAATCGATCAGCCCTAAAATCAATCGGTGGCAGTAGCCCACCCCTCCACACAACGAACAGTTTATTCATTGACTCAGAATCAAATTAACACAAGGGGTCACCACAGCACTAGAAAATCGTATTCGAAGGTAAATAAGAACATAATTGAATGAATTCCAAATTGATAAAATATACTCAATTAATACCTGAAGGAACCAGAAAGCGGCAAACCTAAAAGAGAGGGGTGAGGGTTCTCAGTGAAAGAGAGAGATTAAAACTTATTGAAATTCCGAAGATGTTCCATCCCCTGAACTGTCAAAGGGAATCATCATGCAAATGCGATGGTCACCAGTGCCCGAAATCACGCGAGATATCGCGGGAGAATTCATCGATGGCATTTTCCGAAGAATGCCTCCTCCACGAACTTTGTTCATTAATCTCAGATTCCATGGGATCTGGAGGTCCGGTGTGCAATTTGGAGCCACTGTTTCCGGTTTAAGTGATTGAGGGATGGCCAGCGTACTCCGGATTTATGATATCATATTTCGTTAGGGGATTTTGTTTATCCTTATTTGATTGTTCTGATGATATATTTAAAAACTACCGAAAATTTTGTATTTCGAACATAAAAAGGCAACAGCACACCTTGTTTTGTTGGAATAATTCATTTTAATTTAATTGTTATTCGAATCCACTTTTCTCTCCTGAAAACAAGTTATTCTACGCTTTATATTTACCGCATATTCCGACGTATAACGCGAACTTAGCACAAAAAATAAGATCAAAATTTACGGGTGAGCTTTATAAGCCGAGTATAAAAATGAGTTTTAAAAAATAAAGGAGGAGGGGGGATGAGCATATAAGAATTAGATTTTACATAAGCATTTGTAATGTTTTTCATCTTCTAACAACCACACATCTACTGCCCTTTTAAATTTATTCTGAATGGTTTATTGGTGCACTCATCTTAAGTTTGAACTAATAGCGTTCACACCTGAAATAATTGCAAAGATTTCATTGCACTTTATCAGAAACGTTTTCGCATTATCCGTCAGTGAGTGAGTGAGTGAGTGAGTGATTTTGGGGTTTATTGGCGCAAGAGCCGATTTCGGCTATACTGCGCCAAACATTTGTTGTAATATCTGTGATCTAGACTGGAAGAGAAAGAAAGAATGAATTGAATGACAAGAAAGAGGGTCGAAAATGGAGAAGGATCACTAGGGTACCCCGGGTTCGTGAAGCCCGTGTTTACCAAAGACAGTAAACCCCGTGGGAAAAGGAAAATATCACTAGAGCACCTCGGGATTGTGACACCCGTACTCACCTAAAGAAGTTGAGCCCCCTGAAGGGCATTATCCGTCAGATGGAAACCCATATGAACATATCCAAAACTAAGACTTTCTGGATTCTTTAAAACCCCTGAACATTTTCGCCAAATATTTTTTTTATCCACAATTTTATACCGTTTTCGTCAATTCGCTTTTTCTCGTGCACAAGAATGGAACTACTTTTCGGGAAATCATATTCTGGCACCCGGTTTCTCTTAAAAATAGCCGTGAGTTTTAATGCACTGTCCACAAAGTACACGAGCACTGCGGTATTTCGTAATCTGTTGTTTTATGTGAACCGTTTTTGTCTAAAGATCAGAGCCTTATACTTGTGCATTTCAGGTTTCTTCGTAACTAAGTAATGTAAAAAAAAATAAGTCAATTTCTATTTAGGTCAACAAAGAAAAAATTTTAGTTACTTTTTATTAAATAATTACAATTAATATAAATATGTAAATACACGTGACACACACACACACACAGAATCACAATATTGTGGCAAAATAGAAAACGATTTATTTTCCTTGCAATTTTCCATTTTCCTTTCTATTTATGGTGTTGGACTATTTTTGTTTGTGTTATTATTTATCCATTTAATTAAATTTAATTATTCCAATAAAGTAGTATAGTAAAAAAGAAATCACATTCTGAGAAATTAGGCCATCCCCGGTGGGATTCGAATCCACGATTATTGGTTTAGGAGTCCAATGCACTATCCTTGCGCTACAGGGACATTTTCTTTTTTATATATGGCGTTGGATTATTATATTTGTTTCTTTTTATTCAGGAATTAAATTTAAATATTGAATTAATATTTGAAAAAACTGCATCAACACTACAAAATGTTTTTGAACTTAAGTGGATGAATAAAAATTATTTTATAAACGATTGAAAATTTGAACAAGATATATATATATATATAGGAAGAGTGTGAACTAATAGTAGGAACTGAATGAAAAATGGGTGCGTGTTATACGTCGAATTCACCAAAAAATCGAAAAGTGCAGTTTGAGAGTATATGCGCGTAATTAAGTCGGAATAACGGTGCTATTCAATATAGCATTCTCATTGTGTTAAGGGAACCAGTACATGCTCGAAAGAGTAAAATGCCGAAATTGACCCTTTGTTTATGAGACATATATCTTTTGAAATTTCCAATAGAGCTTAGGTATTTTATGTTCTTAATAAACAATTCAATTATTCTGTAGAACTACAAAAATAACTTTTTAATTCAAACGTTTTTTCCCCTACTTAATTAAGTAATACATAATTTTTGAGAACTCATAATACATACTTATGTTTAGGTACCATTTTTTAAAAAGTATCTTTTTTTATGCAAAATATTTCTTACACATATATAAACAATACACAAAAGACAGTGAACCTATTTTTCAGTAAATTTTAGTATAGTTTCTTTAAAAATATTATAAAACTATGAAAATTTGGAAAATTTCTATTTTTCTGCTTTTTTTATGCATAAAACCATTTTTAAAAATTAGGCACAATTTAAAGAAAAAAAATTAGTTCACTATATGCATAGGCATCTTGTATAAGAAGTATAAGAAATCTGAATCACATTGTACTATAGTTTTTTTAAAAATGTACCTAATGCAAAAAAATATGCTTTTGAGAAAAGTGAAAAAACTAAAAAAACAATGTTTTTACATATTATTCACTTGTTTAGTATTTTCTTGATTATTTTTATATGCCTAAAATAATGCTTAATCATTTTCTAGAATTACAAAGTAATTTTAAAATTCATATGTTTTTTCCCCTTTGTTTTAGTTAACATGAACATAAATTTCGAGATCTTGTAATACATATTTTCATGTACGTACCATTTCTTACAAAAATATTTCTTGAATATACAAAAATATTTTACACATATATCTAAAGCAACAATTAAACATAATGAACCAGTTTCATAATAAATTAACTGCATAATTTCTTTGAAATAATCATAAAACCTTAAAATTCTGAAAATCTTAATTTTCGAGATCTTGTAAACACATATTATGCCACAATATAGCGGAGTTATTCATTCAAACGAAAAAAAATTCAAAAGTTTATATAGATCAAACATAGGGGAAACTATCCATTTAAAATATGTCAAAAGGGGCGTGGTCATTTTTGTTTACATTTTTATTTTTATTTTAGGGCTATTTATCAACAAGCATATAAGTATTATGCATTTTTAGTCAGAAAAATATGCATTATATTTTAGACTAAAATTGAAAAATCAATTCTTTGAAAGTATATGTTCCTGGTTCCCTTAATTGAATAATAGGATATACGTATAAAATAGCTTTAAGAATGATATTACAAAAAAATATTTGATTGGAATTTTTTGACAAAAAATG